ATTTTTTTTATTTATTTATTTATTTATTTACTCATTCCAACAATGCAAATGTAGATCGAGAGGATTTTGTGGTGTTTACTACCTAGATCTTGATGCTTTTTGTTATCTTCGCCATATTAATGAAAGGGGATCCATGTTTCGTTTTCTGGTTTTGGGGTTTTGGAAGATTAAGATGGAGATGCTGTTGGTCATGCTGGTGAACTTGTAGTTTTTGATCTAGACGGAATTTTACTACCCTGATTTTGACTTCTTGTTTTCTTCGCCATATCCGTGGAAAGGATCCATGCCTCGTTTCCTGATTTTGGAAGATGAGGAAGATGTTGATGTTGGTGTACTTTGAGCTATTGTTGTCGAATTGGCTGCATTTCCCATGTTCTCATTATCATCGCTGTCGTAGTCAAGTCGTGTATGTGTTCCCTGTGGTACTACTTTCTTTGCTGATTCTTCCTCTGCCTTTCGATCTGCTGAAACATTAGCAGCCAATGCATTTTTAATGAATCTTGATGCTGCATCCTTGTCTACTTCCATATTGGCCTTGTTACCGTGTGTAGCAACACGAAGTTTTTCTGTATATGCCTTGATTCGTTTCTAGAGTAAAAGAAAGATAAGTCAGCTACTCTGTTTTGACTTCAATTGAGATATGATCAAGGGTACATACCAATTCTTGCATCACTGGGTGGTGGTTTGTTGTATGTCCATTTGATTTCAAGTTGACTAAAAGAAGAGAAAAAGAACGACGGGGGTTGAGTGTTAATCAAGTGTTCAGTTGGGAGGTGTTCATGTCATCTACTCCCACGAGGGAGGAGGAAGGGTATAGACAAACTACATACTAAAAGCAAAGGTATTTAAAGCGTAAGCAAGAAGGAGTTCTAGTTGACAACGTTTCTCTGTATCAAGTTTTGCTAATGTCTCGGATAAGGAAGTTGATGTTGCCGTAAGAGGTGCAAGCATTTCCTCAAGTTCAGAGAGGGATGAAAGTAATGCACTTGTGGCATTCTTGTGATTAGTTGGAAGAGTTTGGCTTAATGTTGCCTCTGCTTTTGTTTTTGGTGGCATTTTTTTTTTTTTTCTTTTTTTTT